AACTATATCTAGTCGGTACCTTTCCACCTCCTGCCACCAGCTCTGGCTCCCCCAGTGACGTGACATTCCACGTCCCAATAGCTAGGTGTCCATTGCCAAGGTCCAGTACATCTGAGACCATCCCTCTCCCTGCCATACTGGCATCGCAACCGCCCCTTACCCTTCGTCCTGTGGATGGTAGGCCCACCGGACAGGGCCACAGTAGCCATTTCGGGCTGGGTCCGACCGGGTTACGTGGGTCACCCGGCCACCAGGCGCCTGCCGACGAACACCACCACCAGGTCTGGCTCCAGGGGGGTGTCCCGGTTTACCTTGTCTGGACGAGGTTCTCTGATTTTATATTTCAGAATCATTCATAAGGGGCTTTTGTTTGGACTATTATTTGTCTGGAACCTCCCCTCAAACCTGTTCGCCAAGGGAGATCCTATCAGGAGTACAAGACTCCAGGCGACATAGCTCTGAGGGCCATTGGAACAAACTAACCCCACCACTACGATAAGGTTAGGATCCTTCGGTGGGGTCTAAAGTGCATGCAAAAATATATTATCGGTTATGATTGACAGGTGTACTTGCTGCTGTAGTATTGTGTAATAAAAAAAACTCGATTGCATAGGCTAACATCTGGGAAGAGAAAGGGAAAACTGGCACAGCACTCTGAATAGGTGCATAGGGACTATGACGTGAGATGGCCTCAGCAGCTCGGGGACAAGCACGTGTAGAGTACAGAGCAGGGCACCAGCCCTGTCACTCAGAGAGTTGGCCATGACAGGACCACAGTCAATTACAGACACGCAAACTGCGGCAAGCTCTGTCGTTCTAAGATCGGCCCTTTTCAGTGATTACAAGAAATGTTCAATTATTATAATCCTCTCAATAAAGCTGAAAACTCATTATCTTCCGCTGACGAGAGTATACCATGGATTGTGTAATCAACACTGCACATAAATGGCAGCTTCAAAACCAAATGTGAAAACAACTTTTTTTGACACGTTAGCTTCTCATAAATAAATGACAACTATTTTTATTGTCATTATTCATATTGAAACATACCGAGGTAATTTGTTCTTCTCCCTATGTAGCCCCCAGACTCCGGAACGCTCCTTAGTTATAATCGTCTTCACTATAATCTACAAACGCACAGGAGCCTGATTGCGCTCACATGACTTGGCAATGAGCACGTGGCGAGGTGGTCGGCAAAGGAATATGCGGGAACGAGTTACAAATCCCTCAATGAGGGAGCTCAGGATTTTGATCGCTCACTTTTGGAATTACAGTGAGGGAAGAAAGTATTTGATCCCCTGCTGATTTTATACGTTTGCCCACTGACAAAGAAATGATCAGTCTATAATTTTAATGGTAGCTTTATTTGAACAGTGAGAGATAGAATAACAACAACACAATCCAGAAAAACGCATGTCAAAAATGTTATAAATTGATTTGCATTTTAATGAGGGAAATAAGTATTTGACCCCCTCTCAATCAGAAAGATTTCTGGCTCCCAGGAGTCTTTTATACAGGTAACGAGCTGAGATTAGGAGCACACTCTCAAAGGGAGTATGCCATGGATTGTGTAATCAACACTGCACATAAATGGCAGCTTCAAAACCAAATGTGAAAAAAACTTTTTTTGATTCTAGATTTGAAGCTTTTGTGACTGCAAGGATTCATATTCTTAGGTTTTTTCGGTAAAGTCACGTAGGTAAAACATAAAAAAAGTAAAATAAAATAAAAATCACGACGTTTCGGAGGCAACACAAGCATCCGTCTTCAGGTGGTACCGTCACATTAAAAAAGTAAAATAAAATAAAAATCACGACGTTTCGGAGGCAACACAAGCTTCCGTCTTCAGGTGGTACCGTCACAGCCACGACAGCTGTATCAAGTTAGCCTCTCATAAATAAAAGACAAATATTTTTATTGTCATTATTAATATTGAAACATACCGAGGTAATTTGTTCTTCTCCCTGTGTAACACACTCAAAGGGAGTGCTCCTAATCTCAGCTTGTTACCTGTATAAAAGGCACCTGTTCACAAAAGCAATCAATCAATCAGATTCCAAACTCTCCACCATGGCCAAGACCAAAGAGCTCTCCAAGGATGTCAGGGTCAAGATTGTAGACCTACACACGGCTGGAATGGGCTACAAGACCATCGCCAAGCAGCTTGGTGAGAAGGTGACAACACAAAAGAACTGTCAATCTCTGTCAATTTCCCTCGACCTGGGGCTCCATGCAAGATCTCACCTCGTGGAGTTGCAATGATCATGAGAACCGTGAGGAATCAGCCCAGAACTACACGGGAGGATCTTGTCAATGATCTCAAGGCAGCGGGGACCATAGTCACCAAGAAAACAGTTGGTAACACACTACGCCGTGAAGGACTAAAATCCTGCAGGGCCCGCAAGGTCCCCCTGCTCAAGAAAGCACATATACATGCCCGTCTGAAGTTTGCCAATGAACATCTGAATGATTCAGAGGACAACTGGGTGAAAGTGTTGTGGTCAGATGAGACCAAAATATAGCTCTTTGGCATCAACTCAACTCGCCGTGTTTGGAGGAGGAGGAATGCTGCCTATGACCCCAAGAACACCATCCCCACCGTCAAACATGGAGGTGGAAACATTATGCTTTGGGGGTGTTTTTTTGCTAAGGGGACAGGACAACTTCACTGCATCAAAGGGACGATGGACGGGACCCATGTACCGTCAAATCTTGGGTGAGAACCTCCTTCTCTCAGCCAGGGCATTGAAAATGGGTCGTGGATGGGTATTCCAGCATGACAATGACCCAAAACACACGGCCAAGGCAACAAAGGAGTGGCTCAAGAAGAAGCACATTAAGGTCCTGGAATGGCCTAGCCAGTCTCCATACCTTAATCCATAGAAAATCTTTGGAGGGAGCTGAAGGTTCGAGTTGCCAAACGTCAGCTTAGAAACCTTAATGACTTGGAGAAGATCTGCAAAGAGGAGCGGGACAAAATCCCTCCTGAGATATCTGCAAACCTGGTGGCCAACTACAAGAAACGTCTGACCTCTGTGATTTCCAACAAGGGTTTTGCCACCAAGTACTAAGTCATGTTTTGCAGAGGGGTCAAATACTTATTTCCCTCATTAAAATGCAAATCAATTTATAACATTTTTGACATGCGTTTTTCTGGATTTTTGTTGTTGTTATTCTGTTTCTCACTGTTCAAATAAACCTACCATTAAAATTATAGACTGATAATTTCTTTGTCAGTGGGCAAACGTACAAAATCAGCAGGGGATAAAATACTTTTTTCCCTCACTGTAAAGGATGGACGGTATTTTGCAGCATCCTGGGCATCTTTGCAGCCCTTATTTAAAGATCACGCTGCTTGCCCCATTGTTTGCAGAAGGGGCAGAATGACCCAGTGAGCTTGCTACGGCTGATGGGTACTCCCATCAAAGACATTAGATTAGGGAAACAAACGTTTAATGACATTAACTATTTTGTTTATACATGGACAAAACATTCACCATCTCAGATTTGCTGACAACATAGTCATGATAACATTCGATAGGAATGAACTGCTTGACATGGTATAAGAACGTCGCAAAAACTGCAAAGGTTGAGCTCAGGGTAATAACTATAACGAAAGCTGAGGTCTTGGACATGTTTCCTAAGCAACCGGCGATAACAATCAGAGAAACATATTGTAAAACAAAGCAGATTGTTGACCTAGGATGGCTCTCAAAGGTGGATAGATAAAATTAGTTAACTATATAGGTGAAGGAGAGTGGGGTAGAGTGCTTTTTTGAAAGCTGAGCGTGATGAGTAACAAACCAATGTGCCCAAATAAATAAATAAATAGATAAATACTTCAGTGCACTCTACTTGCGATGACGTGAATTTAGAAAAAAAAGATGTGGCTTGCCATTGGCTTATAATGATGACGGTAAGTGTGTTGTAAAACAAACAATTGTCAACAATATAAATATGGGCGAAACATTTGCACTTTGAGAACAATAAAATGATATACTGTTAGAGTTGAATCATGTTTGCCCGATTGTGAGTATTTAAGAGTTCCAGCAGAGCAGCGGACACACAACTTCATCTTCAGGTTTCAAGAGGAGTTTTTTCGTGGAAACATATCGGAAATGTAGAAAACAAAATTTCACTTGGAACAAGCATATTTATACGTACAAAGGCATTGGAATATATAGTTTACTGAAGCTAAAAAAGGGGTTTTACCTTCGTGATTAAATTGAAGGAGCTGAGAATTTTGGATTTTCTTTCACTGGAAGAGCTCTTATATATCTGCAATGGAGCAGAACATTTTCAGATCAAAAGCTATCACTTGCGTCATATTTGCATTTATCATTGTAATATCAAAAGCTCAGGGTAAGTAAATATTACCTCGTATTAATATTTTTTTCTAAATTTCAATATTTCACTCTCATATGTTTATTTTATGTTACATAAATTTTAATTTTCAATTTCACAGTGTAGTATTGAATTCGTTTCATATTATGTGCGGTACGTGTTATTTTTATTTATAAATACTAAAACATATTGGACACTTACACTCATTGGTTCTTTCGGTAAAGTCACGTTGTTAAAAATAAAAAATAAACTGCTTAACTTTACTGAAAGAACCAAAGAGTATGGATTCCTGCAGTCACGAAAGCTTAAAATCAAGATTGGACACCTACATTTAAAGGATTTGTTTGTTTTTTGCAAAGTCGACATTTAATTTAAATTGTGCAAGGTAAACGTTTTTCAAGTGTTGGTTTGAAAAAGGAGCAAACTTTTCATTTAATATTGCTTCAATATAAGTGTGCCTTTTGTTGATGCTATTTGTAGGAACAACAGGGACACCAGGAACAACAGGGACACCAGGAACAACAGGGACACCGGGAACAACAGGGACACCAGGAACAACAGGGACACCAGGAACAACAGGGACACCGGGAACAACAGAGACACCGGGAACAACAGAGACACCGGGAACAACAGGGACACCGGGAACAACAGAGACAATGGGAACAACAGGGACACCAGGGACACCGGGAACAACAGGGACACCAGAAACAACAGAGACACCAGGAACAACAGAGACACCGGGAACAACGGGAACAACAGGGACACCAGGAACAACAGAGACAACGGGAACAACAGGGACACCGGGAACAACAGGGAAACCGGGAACAACAGGGACACCAGGAACAACAGAGACACCAGGGACATCGGGAACAACAGAGACACCAGTGACATCAGTGACACCAGTGACACCAGGAACAACAGGGACACCAGGAACAACAGAGACACCGGGAACAACAGGGGCACCAGGAACAACAGGGACACCAGGAACAACAGAGACACCGGGAACAACAGAGACACCGGGAACAACAGAGACACCAGTGACATCAGTGACACCAGTAACACCAGGAACAACAGGGACACCAGGAACAACAGAGACACCGGGAACAACAGGGACACCGGGAACAACAGGGACACCAGGGACACCGGGAACAACAGGGACACCAGGAACAACAGGGACACCAGGGACACCTGGAACAACAGGGACACCAGGAACAACAGAGACACCGGGAACAACAGGGACACCGGGAACAACAGGGACACCGGGAACAACAGGGACACCAGGGACACCTGGAACAACAGGGACACCAGGAACAACAGGGACACCAGGAACAAGAGGGACACCGGGAACAACAGGAACAACAGAGACACCGGGAACAATAGGAACAACAGAGACACCGGGAACAACAGAGACACGAGGAACAACAGAGACACCAGTGACACCAGGAACAACAGGGACACCGGGAACAACAGAGACACCGGGAACAACAGGGACACCGGGAACAACAGAGACACCAGGAACAACAGAGACACCGGAAACAACAGGGACACCAGGAACAACAGAGACATCGGTAACAACAGGGAACCCGGGAACAACAGAGACACCGGGAACAACAGGAACAACAGGAACAACAGGAACAACAGGGACACCAGGAACAACAGGGACACTGGGAACAACAGGGACACCGGGAACAACAGGGACACCAGTGACAGCAGGAACAACAGGGACACCAGGAACAACAGAGACAACAGGGACACCGGAAACAACAGAGACACCAGTGACATCAGTGACACCAGTGACACCGGGAACAACAGAGACACCGGGAACAACAGGGACACCAGGGACACCGGGAACAACAGAGACACCGGGAACAACAGGGACACCGGGAACAACAGGGACACTGGGAACAACAGAGACACAGGGAACAACAGGGACACCAGGGACACCAGGAACAACAGGGACACCAGGAACAACAGAGACACCGGGAACAACAGGGACACCGGGAACAACAGAAACAACAGAGACACCGGGAACAACAGAGACACGAGGAACAACAGAGACACCGGGAACAACAGGGACACCGGGAACAACAGAGACACCGGGAACAACAGTGACACCAGGAACAACAGAGACACCAGGAACAACAGAGACACCGGGAACAACAGAGACACCAGGAACAACAGAGACACCAGGAACAACAGAGACACCGGGAACAACAGAGACACCAGGAACAACAGGGACACCAGGGACACCGGGAACAACAGGGACACCAGGAACAACAGGGACACCGGGAACAACAGGGACACCGGGAACAACAGGAACAACAGAGACACCGGGAACAACAGAGACACCAGGAACAACAGAGACACCAGGGACACCGGGAACAACAGAGACACCAGTTACATCAGTGACACCAGTGACACCAGGAACAACAGAGACACCGGGAACAACAGAGACACCGGGAACAACAGGGACACCAGGGACACCAGGAACAACAGAGACACCGGGAACAACAGGGACACCGGGAACAACAGGGACACCGGGAACAACAGAGACCCCGGGAACAACAGGGACACCAGGGACACCAGGAACAACATGGACACCAGGAACAACAGAGACACCAGGAACAACAGGGACACTGGGAACAACAGGAACAACAGAGACACCGGGAACAACAGAGACACGAGGAACAACAGAGACACCGGGAACAACAGGGACACCGGGAACAACAGAGACACCGGGAACAACAGTGACACCAGGAACAATAGAGACACCAAGAACAACAGAGACACTGGGAACAACAGAGACACCAGGAACAACAGAGACACCAGGAACAACAGAGACACCGGGAACAACAGAGACACCAGGAACAACAGGGACACCAGGGACACCTGGAACAACAGGGACACCAGGAACAACAGGGACACCGGGAACAACAGGGACACCGGGAACAACAGGAACAACAGAGACACCGGGAACAACAGAGACACCAGGAACAACAGAGACACCAGGGACACCGGGAACAACAGAGACACCAGTTACATCAGTGACACCAGTGACACCAGGAACAACAGAGACACCGGGAACAACAGAGACACCGGGAACAACAGGGACACCAGGGACACCAGGAACAACAGAGACACCGGTAACAACAGGGACACCGGGAACAACAGGGACACCGGGAACAACAGAGACACCGGGAACAACAGGGACACCAGGGACACCAGGAACAACATGGACACCAGGAACAACAGAGACACCGGGAACAACAGGGACACCGGGAACAACAGGAACAACAGAGACACCGGGAACAACAGAGACACGAGGAACAACAGAGACACCGGGAACAACAGGGACACCGGGAACAACAGAGACACCGGGAACAACAGTGACACCAGGAACAACAGAGACACCAGGATCAACAGAGACACTGGGAACAACAGAGACACCAGGAACAACAGAGACACCAGGAACAACAGAGACACCGGGAACAACAGAGACACCAGGAACAACAGGGACACCAGGAACAACAGGGACACCGGGAACAACAGGGACACCGGGAACAACAGGGACACCAGGAACAACAGGAACACCGGGAACAACAGGGACACGAGGAACAACAGAGACACCGGAAACAACAGGGACACCGGGGACAACAGAGACGCCGGGAACAACAGTGACACCAGGAACAACAGGGACACCAGGAACAACAGGGACACCGGGAACAACAGGGACACCGGGGACAACAGAGACGCCGGGAACAACAGTGACACCAGGAACAACAGGGACACCGGGGACAACAGAGACGCCGGGAACAACAGTGACACCAGGAACAACAGAGACACCAGCAACAGCAGAGACACCAGTGACACCAGGAACAACAGGGACACCAGGAACAACAGGGACACCAGGAACAACAGGGACACCGGGGACAACAGAGACGCCGGGAACAACAGAGACACCAGGAACAACAGAGACACCGGAAACAACAGGGAAACCGGGAACAACAGAGACACCGGGAACAACAGAGACACCGGAAACAACAGGGAAACCGGGAACAACAGAGACACCGGGAACAACAGGGACAACAGCAACAACAGGAACAACAGGGACACTAGGGACAACAGTGACACCAGGAACAACAATGACACCGGAAACAACAGGGACACCAGTGACAGCAGGAACAACAGAGACAACGGAAACAACAGAGACACCGGGAACAACAGAGACACCGGGAACAACAGAGACACCAGGAACAACAGGGACACCGGGAACAACAGGGACACCAGGAACAACAGGGCCACCAATAAAAGAGTAAGAATTAATTTTAATATGGCTCAAAATTAGCTACGATCTTATTGATCAGAAAGTTTAAAGTTCATTCATTGTGATATTTAATGTTCAAATTGTTGCCTTAATAATATTGTGCATTTGTGTGATTAATTTTACAACTCAATATATGGATCAGATTTAATAATATATTACATGTTGCTGAATGCATATTTAACGTTGTGTTTATATTCATCCTGCTTCATATCTCTCGTGTATGATTATGATCACTGTGTATGTATGTATTTAAACATGTATATATCATGTTAATACTATACGCAGCATGCTTGAATATATAAATTGCATGTATATGTTTGTGTCCATTTATAAACATAGAGTTTGACTTTTGAGAAAATAACATAAAAAATGCATCCATCAATAAAGCATTAATGTGTTACTAAACACATCTTTCTGGCACAAACCTCTTATCTGGTCAAGCCATTCTCTGTTGTATTCTTCTCTTTCCGGTTGTTGTTGTCCTACATATGTGTAGCAAATATGTGTAGGATGGCGACTAAAGCATGTTTTATTAAAGTATTGAGATAGTTATCATTTCAACTTCATCTTTCATCACTCTAATAACTTTGAATTTCAGCTGCCCGGACGAAGACAAATACTACTGGTACAGCAGCAACTGTTCAAAGATCTCCAAGATAGCCGTGATCGTCGGGATCACTGTACCGCTTGCAGTCCTGCTCATCGTCGGTGTGATCCTACTGGTGTGGCGCAATTGCAGGAGAACACCGCTGCATGACAGGTGAGCACATCGTGTGCCACATTCCTGTTTCGCAGACTTGACTCTCCATTGAACATGGGCAAAGATTTGAGTTAAAGGTGTTGGGTGGCATGGGTAATGGAGTGAACATTGTCCATTTGGTGGCAATGGGGAGGTAATTACAAACAATTATAAACAAATGCTTTGATTGGTGTCGACCTACTGCCGGTGTCGGAGCCTTCTCCCACATTAACATTAGCTGCCCCGCCCATCTCTAAACCTTTATAAACAGATTTCCCTCAGAGGCTCACCTCCCTGTTCCTGATGACGACCGCTTGTGTTGTGATCGAAACGTCGTGATGTTTTTATGATTTTTTATTCACTTTATTTTTATTTTATTGTTATTTTTTTTGTCTATGTGACTTTACCGAAAGAACCATAGAATATGAATTTCTGCAGTCACGAAAGTTTAGTCAAAATAAATTTTTTTTATATAGCTACTCCAACCCAATGGATGATTCACCACGAGCAAGGAATGTTGTCAAAATAGTAATGCATTGACTTGGCTGAGAACACCCCAGTTGTTTGATTCATGATTATAAATATCCAGGTTGCATTGTAGTATTGCTATATGGATTTAGAGCAACACTTGGCAGTTACACTTTTGACTTGGTACTGAACTTGGAGGAAACTATATGGCAGTGGCGTGTTCACTTTAACGCATAGGCAAAATCAGGATTGGTTCGTCCACTGATTTTTCTCAAAATTATTTTGTTGTGTTTTAAAATATATATAATGATTCTTTCAACGTGAATTGCCTAACGAATATAACATTTTAAGTTCATATTAGAAAGCGCTGCAACGCAGTCTGATTTGTGCCTTGGGGAGGTCTCGGGGCGGCTGTGATGGCGTCCGAGTGAGAGAAATTCCTTCATTCATTGCGATTTGCTTCGCGTTTTAGCCACGCCGTTTGAGACCCATTCACGGTGGTGAAAAAGTCGCCCATTGCAGTAATGACTTCGTCGCAACGCGAGGTTGAACTGTGCAAAATATACAGGCCATGGCCTACACGCTCTAGGCTTTTGGCAGTGTCAAAGTGGTTGTGTAGTGTGGACTTTAGGGTCATGGGAGTGCTTTTGAGTGCTTTGTTGTTTGTTTCGTATTGTTCTTAAATGACTATCGTTGGTAGATAAGACAGTTAGGTATATGACTTTCACGGGAAGGCCAATAACATTACGAGGTTTTTCTTAGAACACCACATTTTCAGAGGTCACTCACAACAGCCCCACCTAATGGAAATTTCACGAGCCGCCCATGGGCATCATGTAAATTTAAATAATTAGCTTTTTGTGTTGAAGCTTAGATCTTCATTAAATTGTAACTTCAGTGCTTTCATAGAACGTTTAATGGTTGTAATTAAAATAACTTACATTAATTTATACTTTGTTTTGGTTTACAAATATAGTGCTGTATAGTATTTTAATTTGTGCAACATACCTTTAAATTAAAACAGTACTTGACAGAAATAACATAAGGCATTCAAACACCAATGACATTTTAAAATGCAATTAGCCACAATACACAAATCACGACCTGTATTTGCTTGCAATTAATACAGATATGTGCTTCAGGCTATGGGATACGTCAGCAATAAATTAACATTTTCATTTGCACATTTTCATGTAACAAAGACAATGTTTTTATTTTACGTTTCCAGTTATTTTGTGAACAAAGACGGCACATATGAAGACACTGTTGAAATTTTGGATGTGAAAAAAATCGGTAAGTGACCAATTGATATGTCTTCATAAATAGTGACGAGCACGGTTGGAGATGTATGGTGTAAATATAATTCAACATACATACAATAGAATCCTGTATATATATGTATTGTTTATATTGTCATTCCTACTATAAACTTTCATAAAGTCTCCATGTGAATACTATTGGGATAAAACAATGAGATCACAGTATTTATATAATGTAGCAGCTTACACTTTTTAAATATGCTGGTTTTTTTTTGACAGATTTTGACAAAGTTGATACCACTACATCAGTAAGTATGAGTTTGATTGTTTATTCTGTAATAATAATTGCATTGTATAATAATCACATATTGTATATATAATAGTACAAAGTATGTTATAATGTAAACTGGTCAACATAATTAAACATTTTTAAAGTTGCACAAGCATTGGAGTACCAAGTCACGTAATGCTATTTTCATACAGCGTGAGTCTTGCAAATTACAACGTTGTACCGGAGAGGTGCGGGAAGCCACAGACAAAGCCGCAAGGCCAAGAGGGGGTGTGCACGATCCCAGTTCATTAACTTGTGGGTAATTTTCGAAATTGGAAACTTCGGGCCTATGTTTCCTGCACACAATGGTCTGCTCTTGCGAAGGACATCACGCTTATGTAAAAAAAATCGATCACCCTGGAGACAACGGCGTTTATATTTACGGTAGATACGGCCGCAACAATAACCGAGGCAGGCCGCTGGATTAGAACGTTGAACCTCTGCAACAAGCGTGCGAACGTGTTACGGCTAGGCCATGTGACTGCCCCAATAAAGTACAACACTAAATGCTATATTTAAGGGTTTTTTTTTTTACCACAACACAGTCTCATGTGAAATATACATTTTTTGATGAGCATGAATTCTAACTTTTGAATGTTATGTTTCATTTTCAGGTGAAAATTAGAAGACCTGAGCTTGTATAAGCGATGACGAAGCACCACTAAATGCACATGTATGATATTCCGTGTTCATATGAATATATTGTACACTTTCAGTAATCTTACGAACAAACTCGAGTTGCTTGATATTAAACAATAAGTTAGATGTGTGGAAATTATTTTTTTTACGTGGTTGTTTTGGAGGTCAGACTAACGAACTGGCTCTGCTGCGATTGTGGATTCAAATCCAGGGATCTGTCTGTGATTAAAACGGGTTGTGAGATGATGGACGATGCCCAGTCATCAATGACTGCATTAATATCTATCACGTGATATTTTATGCTGCATTTAATTTTGGCTCAATTGCATATCTGAGAATATATATACCCGTTTGTCTAAGATTTTATAAATATGGAAGAATAATGCTCTGTGCTAATCGGACCAGAGATCACTTGAAGAGATCTCAGCATTCTGTAAAATCCGTCATATTCTGCCACAGTGGAACGCACCGCTCTGTCAAAGATCTGAATGGATTTTTAATCTCATGACAAGACACCAATAACACAATTGTAATAAAATTGTGTTAAAACCCCTACAAAATAATGAATAGCTTCATGTTATATAATTGTACTATATTACTGTCTTATATACATTTATGAATAATATTAAAAATGTACAATACAATGCATGTTACATATATTTATTAAAACAGATACTGTTTTTTAAATAATTGTTTTCTAAGTTAACTAGGTATATTTTGCTAATTTAAAATTATGAAACTGTAATTATATAAAATGTGTGTATTATATACAGATACAACAAAGGCTAAAGGATTCAGTTGACGTCCATATATGAGCTTTAAATACAATAAACTCCTATTGTATGGCATGTGGCTATAAGTTGATATTTGGTGATAATAAGTGTTTGAATAATGCTGTCACATCCACACAAATATAGACCACTTACTATATTCATTATACCTAAATATGTATTCGCACAAAATGTATTTTTGTTATAATGCAGAATAAAGATGTATTTTAAAGGAAATAGCAGTCGATGTGCTGGAATTAACAAATTTACATAAATACCCTTGTGGAAGTTTTTATTTTTATTTGAAACTGATCATTCTTACAATTTGCAATTGGCTTCTTGTATACTGTATATACATTCTAGTCTTGCACGGCAACACATAGTTTATGTACGGTATTGCTTTTTTGCATTGAATGGGATCCCACAGTTCATATGGAGAACTGTTACCATAATATATGGTTATGTTCTTGCGTATGATAATACATACAGGAGCTAAATGCCAATGTCTGATAGCCATGAGAGGGATTCAGGAGAGAGAGTTCGTGTAGTTTTATTGTTCCTCCTTCACTGACGTAGTGCAGACTACATTGGTTTACTATGAGGTCCATCGTTTTGGTTGCATGGCCACAATTGCACCACTGTGGCTTGTGTCTTTAATTTCCCATTTACGAAGGAGATATGCGCGTCTGCCTGTTGATGTTACGATGCGGTTGGTGGTTACGCAAGTGTCGATGAATATCAAAGACACTGGTGCATTGACATGTATTGCATGACATTTATCGACTGTATATGTATAATCACTCGGTATATTGTGTTCTTTGTATTATTTAAAGACACAAACATTGTTTAAGAATGCATTAGTAATAAAGATATATATTGAAATGCAATACATTGTGTGTGATTAGCCGCACTGCTTTTTTATTTGAACCTGACCAACTCAGTTCTTCCTAATACAACAGCTCAATTTACCCATATCTCATCTACTACAATATTGTCTAGGCCAATACATATGCTTCCTACCTACATAAATTACACATCATCAGAGTATTGAGAGCTCGGGGTAAGCACTGTCTTTGAGTTGTACGCCTTTTGGCGTCATCTGGTCCAACACCAATGGAGACTAGGCTCTAAGAAAAGCTGTCTCGGGTGTGGACCAATCAACTTCAAGGACAGTGCATATCATTATCATCATATCAGAGTTGTTTCTTTTTGTTTGCATTTTGACTGCTTGTGTTGTGGTTATTGCAAACATGATGCCTTGTATAAAGGTGTCAGTTTTTGTACCAGTTGAAAGGGTAAAAACCTATTACTATATTTTGCCACTGGTAAAGGAGGTCTCATAGTGTCCCAGCCATGTAGTTTTACCTGTGCCCGCTCAGCCATCATGAAGGTCATTAATGATCGTGAGCAGAGGGTCAGGGACTCTGAAAGCATGGTGAACAACCCAGAGCCCAGGCCTACCGATGGTATTATAGGCCTTGACCAGGTCAATAAAGCAAAGATGTAGGTCTTGTTGGAATTCCCTACACCTATGCTGTAGCAGACGGACAGAAAATATGGCATCTGTGCAGGACCGCCCTTTCCTGAAACCGCACTGGGGCTCCGCAAGCCTCTCCTCAGCGTGCCTGGCAAGGCAATGTTGAATTATCCTTGCTAGGACCTTTCCAGGCACACTGAGGAGTGAGATGCCCATGTAGTTGTTACAGTCTGTGCGGTCCCCCTTCTTAAAGAGAGGGACCACCAGGGCATTCTTCCAATCCTGCGGAACCCATCCAGTGGTCCAGACTGTTGTTATGATGTCATGTAGGGCAGTCTGTGCACAAACGCAACCCTCCCTCAGAATTTCGATTGGGATATCATCTCTGCCTGGTGCCTTTCCTGGTCTCAGACTCTGGATCGCCTTCATTACTTCCTCAACAGATGGCACTTCAGCTCACAGGGGTGACTTCTTCCAATATTTGAGTCACCTGCAGCCTCAGCAGGGTAATTAACACTTTGTCCCACGATGTTTTACAGGCTGAGGGATTTCCCCTCCCCCAGGACCTCACAGAAATGCTCAGTAAATCTGCAAACCTGTTCCTGGAAGTCGGAGAATGGATCACCGTTCTTTCCCTAATGATGGTAATAGGTGTGTCGCTGCAAGTTACTTTTTTATGGAGTTAAAAAACGATTTGTGATCGCGGACCATTGAGGCATACTCCATCTCCTCAGCAACCCGCGACCACCACCCATCCTTGCAGCACCTCACAGCTCTCCGGACATCCGAGCAAAGGCTGCAGTAAGCCTCCTTATTCTCTGACGTGGGATGCTGTAGACGATGACAGTGGGTCTGTCGCTTTTTCTCAGCCAGCCTGAACACCTCCTCTGTCAGCAGGGTCTTTGAGGAGGTGTGGACCTTGTACCCAAAGCAGCCATTGCAGCTGCATGAGCCACAGTCCTAAACCTCGCCCATTTCCCCTCGACATCAGGAAGAGTGGGGAGTTATGCCAACCCCAGCCGCAAGCGATGATTACATTCTCGCTTGCAACTTTCATCAGCTAACTGAGACCGGGCCACTATGGGTTTCAATGGGGTCCTGGGTGTACACCCACCACCGGAGTGGAAGAATGGCAGGCGCATCTTACAGATGACAATGTCGATGATCAGTGGGCAGATCAGCTCCACGGTAGGTCCTAGTGTCAAGGACTTTGGCCTGCATCTGCTGTTCCGTCACTATGTAATCCAGCAGATGTTCTTGCTTGAACCCGGCATGCATCCATGATGTTGTGTGGATGCGCTGATGCCGGAACAGCATGTTGGTAATTACAAGTCCATGGGCTGCACAAAAATCGAGCAGCCTCCTACCATTGTTATTGAGCTGATCTGGCCCATGCCTTCCAATCACTCCAGACCAGGTGCCAGCATCATGACCAACTCGGGCATTCAAGTCGCCCAACAATATGACTCTATCCCAAGGGGCCACTTTAGCTAGCACCTGTGACAGGAGGTCATAGAAGGCATCTGACTCATCGGCCTTACCTGCATCCCTCCTACGGATGTTTGTCTTCGGTGGGGGCATAAGTAACCACGACCACCACTCCTCGCCTTTTGTTGATGGGAAGGCGAGCCCAAAGTAGCCTGGGGCTTACAGCTCCCCACACCTCACCACCACACTCTCACGCCCCCTTCATTATTTTGTTCAGAAGAAGAGCCACTCCCTGTTGTTTGGCAGTCTCTTGTCCCGAGTAGAGGACTTTCCACCCCTCATGGTGGCAGGAGCCAGAGCTGGTCCACCGGACCTCCTGAATACCACAGAGATCCAGTCAGGTACCGGTCTAGCTCCCGACAGAGAATTGGCAGCCTCTCCTCTGCAGTGAGCGTTCGAACATTCCACACGGCTACCCACAGTCGTTTTTTTTATGTTTCTGGAGGAGCCCCGAGGGTAAGGATTCAGTCTCCTGGCTCCGCCAAATGGGGTTTGGCCAGGAGACGTCATAGATGCTGTCCCCCGGGGCCTCCGGCACAAGCTTAATTAGATATTTTGCAAGTAGTTTTGTGGTGATTAATGTAAGGTGGAGGGGTTACCAGCCCCTCGCACCCGTCCAAAGCCCCATTTGGCCGCTGTGGTGGCTACAAACGCCATGAGTGGAATGGCCAATCGAAATTAGCCCTCCTCCCATGGCACTGCTCACCACAGCGTTGCCGTCCGGCACCAACGAGGAGATAGCGGGTTGTTTATCCGGACTCACACACACTCACACACACATACAGCACACATGCACACACATAAACAAACATGGTTTTTTGAACACTGAGTTTACGTATTTAATTGCAATTACTATGCTTTGTTAATTAATTGAACAATCAGTTGTGTATATAAATTGTCATTTTTTTCGCGTGGCTTTTCATAGAACCCTCTTGGGTTTTCAACCTCACCTGCACACTTTGTTTCTCCTTTTTTATTTGTACTGTTTATTTTTCGATTTTTGTGCAGTGAATAAACAATACAATACTACTGGCTATGGTCTGTCAGCGGCGATTGCTATCTGAACCAGTCCTGGGCATCCCCACCCATTCACCAACCTGCACTGACCAGAGTGGTGAAGTATGGTCAAACATGCCCGTACATAGTGTGGATAGGCCTTCATTCGGCAGTCGATTGACAAGGAGCTGTATTTATGTTGGAGCTGTCCAAATAAAGTTGAAAGCATGAACACATTCGCTTTGTTCGTCGGTAAATGGAGGTCAGGACGACTCTCGTAACGCTTATCTAATATGAACAGAATGTTGTTATAAAGTTGCGTTCCTATGAGCAACTAGCTCTCTAGACCACGGGAACAATATTGAAATATATTGTCCAATACTTGGCGACGAATTTTTTTTGTCCGAAAGTATTTTTTCATTAACAAAACTATTCAGTTATACAGCACAGAGGATATTAAAGGGGATTGACACCAGCGAAAACCACACTTTATGGACTACAGTGCAATTAATACCTGTCTGAATCGCATGTTGAATAAACCGTTTCAATTAGCTCTACAACCCTGGTGTCTTCCTAACATCTGATACCCTGGAGGACTCAGCGACACATTTAATATGGTTTGCCTTGTCCCCAAGGTGATAAACCTCACAGCCGTACTCACTCATCCGATAGGTGGCGGTTATCTCCCAACACAACGTGTCGTTTGACATCTTCTCCTTATCTGGCTCCGAAGGCTGACTTTAATTATCATCAACCACGATCTATCGCCTGCTAGATAAAGGGCTCCTCAAGCCACTGCCGTCTCACGATCCTGGAATATAACAGTTCACCGAGCAACAGCATATGAGCCGATTCATCATACCATCTCCTAGGTTGACATCTTTTTGGACACGCCCCATTCCTTGGCTGCCACTGCATCGGCTCTTGTGCGGCCCAAGTCCACTTTCTTAACAGCTCGGATGATGCATTGTAGATACACCGGATGCCTCCCTCTGCTATTTTGGGCAGCTAGAAAAGGGTATACTGCGCTGGTCGGAGGGTCACTACCCCAATGCCCCTGATTGACTTGGTCTTTCACGTCATTCGAGACTCACAGCGGCGTCCCCTGGTCAGGGCCCGGCATCAGCTGAACTAGAGGTTCTGAATTCCCCCCACCTGTACTCGCATGCCGTTGCCATGGTACGCGCAACGCCATGCTTTTTGGCACAAGTTTCAATTTGTAGCGCAATTTCTTTGTGAATAACCACGTTTCTGATCCATATTCTATAGGTAGTATGCCTTGATTTCAAATAAAATGCATTTTTTATGGAAATTGCTACAGTATGCTACTTTTCCAAAAGCAGTTACATTGGAGAAACCAATCGACATGTCTCGGATCGCATCCGTGAACATAAAGCAGACCTGAAACACGGTAGGACAAACACCTCAGCCGTGGCAGATCACTGTTACAATTCAGTGGGCTCACATGACATTGACTTCTCCAAGAGAGAGGTTCTCTGCAAGCCATCTAGCTACCATGAGAGATTCGTTCATGAGGCGATCCACATATACAAACACAGAGACAATTTCAACCGAGAAGATGGATTCTGGCTCAGCAATCATTGGAAGGACGTAATAAACCACTTCGGATCTTAATTGATTGCTTGTTCACGTTTATGGTGACTTTCAGACCGCAGTCCACTCACTGGCATTAACTGTGTATCTTGTGTTCTCCACAGGGAATGCATTATTTGCTCCGCTGCGGGTCTCCTGCCACCGTTCTCCCATTCACATGTTTCATTGCTTCTACATATTATTAACATGCCCTCCCTTTGTTAATGTTACCCCCCCTCCCTTTGGTGCTGCTGATCCTGCATAATGCATGGGCATAATATGACTTTGAAACCCCCCTGCCCACCTCCTACGCATTTTCCCATGAATATGCTAAATTCCTCTTGATATGCACATTCTTTTGTTAAGGCTCTCTTCTTCTTCCACCTCCAACTCAGCTTATATATAAGCTCCTAGCTTGGCAGTGTCTCATTCTTCACCTGAAGACGGCTGCTTGCGTTGTAGCCGAAACGTCGTGAGAATTATTTGATTTTATTATGTTTAATTTTTATTATTTTATTACTTCCCTTCTACGTGACTTTACCGAAAGAACCAAGAAGATCAGTCTCAACTTGCTCTCATCTGCCTCTTTATTTCATTATCTTTCATCCCAGGACACCTTCAATCGATGCCCTCTGTACCTACTATGCTGTGTTTACAGTTTTGCCCCCTCCGACAGATATCTCTAATTATTTAAGTCAACTCCTTGTTCACGAACCTTTTTTTTTCGCTCATTTATCCTCAGCTCAAATGTCATGCTTTTTAAAATTAAGTTATTTGCACTTTTCATAGAGTTCATGGTTATTGGATGTTATATGACTGTCACATTGTTTTTTCTACATTAATGTGTACGCCTTTGTTTCATTTATCCAGTATTTAGAAAATATAGCCCAATTTTGCTGTGAACAGCTAAGGTGAAGGGGTGTCATCTTGTCTGATTTTCTTTTTGAATATGTGTTACATTTTTCATGAACAGATTTTCATTCTAAAGACTTTAAAAAGTTACGCGTTGGTTTTTGAGAAATTTTAAGAATGCATCCATTTCTACTAAGTTCAATACATTTGCGTTACGTACAATGCTAATTCAGATGTTAACCAGTAGCGGCTCGTGACATTTCCAGTAGGTGGGGCTGTTGTGAGTGACCTCTGCAAATATAGTTTTCTAATTAATAAAAACCTCGTCATGTTATTGGCCTTCCCGTGAAAGTCCGATAACTGTCTTATCTACCAACGGTAGACAATTATAAAATACGAAACAAAACAACAAAGCACGCAAATGCTGTCCCCATAACCCTCATGGCCACACTACACAACCCCTTTGACACTGCCAAAATCCGAGAGCGTGTAAGCCGTGACCTGCTATATTTTGCACAGTGCAACCTAGCGTTGTGACGAAGTCATTGCTGCCATGGGCGCCTTTTTCACCACCCTGAATGGGTCTCACACGGCGTGGCTAAAATGTGAAGCTAATCGCAGTGAATGAAGATAAATATTTCACTCGAACGCCTTCACAGCCACTCCGAGACCTCCACGAGGCACAAATCAGACTGCGTTGCAGCGCTTTCTAATATGAACAACTTAAAATGTTATCTTCATTAGGCAATTCACGTTGAAGAAATCATATATATTTTGACACAACAAAACAATTTCTAGAAAAGTATTTTTAAGTGAAAAATAATTTATCATCTCCAGCTGCTTGGTGGGGCGGTGCCCCAACGCCCCGAGTGAACAAACCGCGACTGATGTTAACGATATGTGGTCTATGGTAGAGAAACATTTCCTGAAGCCTGCCATACTTCTAGATTTGAAGCTTTCGTGACTGCAAGGATTCATACTCATTGGTTATTTCGGTAAAGTCACGTAGGTTAAAAAAAATGAAAACAACTAAATTAAATCACGACGTTTAGTGCGCAACACAAGCGTCCTTCTTCAGGTAGTATCGTTTTTATATTGTCAGAGATTGGGATGTTACTCTGATTAATAACGATCTTGTTAACATCTAGCTTTGTAATGCATGGTTCTGGCTTCATCTTTGCTAGGAGGTTGAATTTAGCGCTCAGGTTAGCTTTACATTTAGTTGACAGTGAATCAGCAGAGGAGGCTGTCATGTTGTCAACACGATCCCAATCAGAAGGGGACATTTTTGTGTTAACATTAAATGTGATTGTAAGAGAATCTCGTCTAAATGATCGAGTTCAAATCCAGATATACAAACATAGACATAACTTCAACCGAGAGGATGGAATCAAATTGAGCAATCATTGAAAGGATGTAATTAACCAAGTTAAACTTTAGCTACCGTGCAGTTTACTGCTAGACAGACAGTTCAGATTTATTTTCATAATCATATCCATATTCCCAGTCTGTTACCCCCAGCTTCACACACTACCATCACCATTACCACACGTTATTTTCAGCTTGCACAATTCCCCCCCCCCCCCCCCCCGCAGCATAACAAAAGGCTGCTTAATCTTAGCTTCCTGATCTACTTCCGCCCCCGGCATCACAAAGCTTCAGTTTGAACTCCGTACGTTGCGCCCACCCCGTTCCTCACATCGTTGCCTCCCAGTCCACAGCCCGCCCACACACTCACCATGGCCCCTCCCCTCCCTCCATCCCCCGCGACTACATAATTTCTTGTCACAGCCATCTCTTAGACACACTTAAGCGGTTGTACTTTCCCTGCCATGCTTGGTTGGCCTCTAATTGTTTTTTTACCCTTCATAAACAATGTCTGTGTGCATGATGATAAGCTATTGAGTCTTCGTTTTTCAAATCAGTTTTCAAATCCCTTTTTGATGAGAAGAATGATTGAGGGCATTTTTCCATTATTCATTATTTTATGTATTTGTAAACATGTTAACAAGTTTGATTGTGTTTCAACAATCGATTGCAACAAAATTATGATATCCACAGATACACCATTAAGCCCCAGGAGTTTTCACATTTGTGGTACTGTGAAAGGTAAAATTTACTTCTTCCAATCCAACCTCTGGAACTTCATCTTCTGCATCTGAAAGATGGTCTGATTCCTGGCCTGTAAGCTTTCTTTTTCGACAGAGATCTGCATAGCGAATTTTCTATCAACCTTTTCACCGCCTTTCATGCTTCCATTGACATCTTCAAGTAATTTTCGTGTGGTGTTTTCTATTTCTTTTCGTATCATTTTTCTAATAATTTTAAAGACTTCCGTATATTCAATCTTCGATCTCGCATCTCCATATCTTTTTTTATATTTACCCTCTTCCTCAACATGCCTTCTGCAGTTTCTGACAATATCCTATGGTTACTGTGGAATATATTTCCCCATAGAGAGGAGTCAACCAAGGGTGCACCTTTTGTACCACAGATTCTATTGAAGTGTTTAGTAATATCCAGATAGAATTCGGCAACATCCAGGCATGACCAAGCAGGGGTGCAGGTAAGTCTGAGGGAGGCACCTAGGGGCAATCCTGGGAGGAGTTAGAGAATATTGACCTCCTCTTATTGCTAAGGCAAGTTCCATGCATAAACTTATACTGGATAATGTTTAATGGGAGATGGTATTCCTCCGTTATTTTGTATTTCTCTCATGATGTAAGCCACTTAACCAGGGGGTGAAGGTCATTGGAGAGGTCTTTATTTAGGGCTTAGTAATTGGTGGCTAATCATGTCTGTGACTTGCACGAAACTGTAAAAGTCTGAAAGCGTAATGTCGTGCTGGGATTGCAAGTGTTGGTTGACTCAGGCTTTTGATGTCAAGTATCTTGGCTTTATCCTGCAATTATCATTGCCCCTCTCTTGGATTTATCTTAAATTGCCACATTAAAGAAGACAGTGCATATTTTGGTGAACATACCAGCAGCATTGACCAGGATGGCCACCGGGTTTAGAACCTCAAACCTCTGCAATGAACAGCAAATGCATAGCCATTCGGCCATGTCTTTATGACGTTGTGAATAACGTAAACTGAAGCCCTTTGTCAATGCACTGCAGGATGGAGGTCTCCCGAGCCAAGTTGGTCAAGGAGGTTGCTTGACCATACTTCACCAGACTGAATCATGTAGGTTGGTAAAGGGGCAGGATATCCAGGGCTAGTTCAGACACCACTCATATTAGCCGTGGCCTGAAATCACTTAGGTAGATAGGTTCAAAGTGCAGTACACTAACCACTTTGTTGCAGCCATAGAGATGTATATCATTATTAGTTAAGCATTCTTAAATGTTTTTTCTTAGGACAGGGAGCATATATTGCATGCGTCTCGAAATACAGTACACCAATGTCTTGTAATAATATATTAATGTTTAAATTATGTTCTGGGTAAGTTAACGTCACATATATGTATATACATGAACCAAAGTGCAATTTCTGATAATTATAGCTACCATTGAATAGAAATTTACCGCTAAAGATACTCAGCTCACAATATTCAACATGTTCAGTGCCATTTATTTTAAAAAATGCAACTTTATTTTACATAAAGGACATACATTCAGTACTTTATACATTTTTCGTACAAGCAAATTACATGAAACACAGTATGCAGTCTATATTCTGTAAAACTAATTATGAGAAGTACCAAACGTCAATTCATAAGAAATTAATTGTTTTAGACATATGACCTCCATTTTAATTAAGTGTGCGTTATTGTTTATATATGCTGTGCTAATTTCACTCAGAAAATATTTAATTAAAAAAGGGATTGTGCTATGGTTAACCTAACTGTATTTGATTAGGTACTATATTGTTTGGATTAAAATATATATATGCAAATAGATTTTTTTTTTGTATTCATATAGTGCAATTTTTTCACTCAAAGCTGTTCATGATTTTTCTTCCCCAACAATGTCATCCCAAACATGCTACCAGCGCACGATGAGTAGATGAAGAATTGTTAAAGAATGTCCCACAGAAGAGGATATCACAGAATAACTTCTGAGATCCCTACATGTGACCTCTGAGCCCACACATTAGGGAAATGAATTTTCACACCTGTCATGTTACAGGGAATAATATTCGGTGTAAGGCAGTCAATACAATTATTTTATATTCAGAGCTAAAATTTTAGCCCATTGAAACATGTAAAATAATATTACATATTGTTTAGACGCATTCATTAGTTATCAGGTTGAGACCATCAACTCACATAGTCAAATAGTCACTTTAAGATGTTTTCTTGTTCATGTTTTTGTTTTTTGTTTGTTGCGGTTGCACCCGATTCAAGAGCCGAATGGCTCACAGGGCTATACCTAATAAATGAAACTGAAAAAACTGAAAAAACTAATACATTACTTGCAAACCCAATCCTAGATTTGAATCCAGGATATCAGCGGTGCTCGCTCACCACTCTGATCTCTGAGCAACCCAGCCACCTCCTACATTTTACATTCTTATATTTTTGATTTACATGCATCTGGCTTTTTTGTTGCACATGGAAACCCATTGAGATTCTTGTTAAGATCACCAAAGGCGTGTGTCCATGTGGACAGTGAACATCACAGAAGTGCGCTAAGTTCTTCTTCATGGCTTATATAATTTCGGGCCTTTTGAGTATCACCTGAAATGAAACGCAACACAAATACCAATGTTACTATCAGTACCATTGACAATTTAATATAAATAGAGCATTCTTGAGCATGATACTTGGCATTCCAATGTTTGTCCAAAGAAAAAAGGATACATTGTTTTGTTTACCAGTTGACATGATTATAATTTTTCCCTTAAAAGGTATATATTGTTCATACTGTGTATATGTGGTCATTCTATTCTGCATTTATGATGACAGAAAAATAGCAATTGTGCTCATACTTACTGGTGTGTTGGTGTCAATTTGGTCCAAATCTGTATAAAAACATAAACAGAATTTTTTTTAAGTTAAAGCTGCACATTATATACAAAAATGTACTAATTGTTTTAGCCCAAAAGCATCACATGGAGGATTGCTTAATTGTCAAGATGCATGTGTGTGTGTTTCACCTATGACACTCAATGCCATTACACTCACACTGACTTATTGTACAGGTATACATATAAGCAACTTTATCAAGTATTATCGAGACTAGCATTGTCAAGGTGAGCCACTGCATATGAAGAATATGCCATTCTTAACTTACCAAGTTTTCGTACGTTGTAAACATCCACATTGTTTTCATAAGAGCTATCACGGTGGAAGTTGTACATCGCGTAACTGCAAACATAAAAAACGTTGTTTTCAAAATGAACATGTTCATATACTGCACTGGTAACTCACATACTCCAAAGCACAGTTCTGTATTCATTGCGCAGAGACATCCTGATTTTTATATTGGTAGAACACACGGGTACATCATGCTGATCACATTTGATAAAAGACAACTGAAGTCTTAATACCTAATTTCAATAAATGTATTGTCTGCTTAAAACATGTGCATTTTATTTGAAGATAGATTCTTTGAATTAAGAAATATGTTGTATAAAATCAAATCGTATGCATTCCTCAAATAATTCCACATCTAGGTAGAAACGATCACGACTCATTTTAATGATTGCAAATTATAAAATAACTGTAATATAGTGAAGACGTTAGCTTCCTCGCAAAGAGCAATCAATATAAATTAATATATTTGCTCATGGATTAAGGTAAACACGTGACTGTCATATATTTGCCTCAAAGTTCAGCTCCACGTCAAATGTGTAACTCATTGGTGTCCTCTCAGGCAAGTAAATGTACGACTTTTCTGAAATGTATTTCTGGTGGTTATCTATTGAATGGGTTGCAATTGCCTCAAATTCTGCTGATTATAGGCCACCCAACGAACATAGTTCCCCCTGTTCACCCATGTCACCCACCACCTTTTGACTCGGTGACAGATTCATATTTTACTGAACCAATGTACTGTATTTGCCTCCATTTCATGGATTGTCGGCGGTATGAAGTGGCAATGTGTAACGTCACGTGCTTTACCTGTCATCCACCGCCGATGATTTTCGGAAGTGGCGCCACACCAGCAGGGATGCGCCGACTATGAGCAGGACAGCCGCTGGGACCGTGACCCCTACGATCACCGCTACCTTGGAGATCCTCGAGCAGTCATCGTTGTACCAGTAATACGCGTCTTCATCCGGGCAACTGAAATTGGACATTATTAGAGTCTTGAAAAAAAAACATTAAGCTGAAATTACATTTTTGTTAATGTTTACAAAATATCGTTTAAGAGCGTATACGGTGCTGTACACTTTTAAATGGCTGTTTGTGAACATTATAGGTGATCTTGAACCATCTTAACAAAATATTGAGTGATTAGTTTTAGTTCTTACTGTGGTGTCGTTGCCTGAGGAGTACTTTCTTGAACCGATGCTGTTGTTCCTTGTGACTCTGTTGTCCCCGTTGTCCCTGTAGATGTAGTTGTTGATGGCCCTGTAGAAGTAGTTGTTGATGGCCCTCTAGATGTAGTTATTGATGGCCCTGTAGATGTAGTTGTTGATGGCCCTGGAGATGTACTCGCCGGTGTCCCTCTAGATGTAGTTGTTGATGTCCCTGTAAATGGAGTTGTTGATGGCCCTGGAGATGTACTCGTCGGTGTCCCTCTAGATGTAGTTATTGATGGCCCTGTAGATGTAGTTGTTGATGGCCCTGCAGATGTACTCGTCGGTGTCCCTCTAGATGTAGTTGTTGATGTCCCTGTAAATTGAGTTGTTGATGGCCCTGCAGATGTACTCGTCGGTGTCCCTCTAGATGTAGTTGTTGATGTCCCTGTAAATGGAGTTGTTGATGGCCCTGCAGATGTACTCGTCGGTGTCCCTCTAGATGTAGTTGTTGATGTCCCTGTAAATGGAGTTGTTGATGGCCCTGCAGATGTACTCGTCGGTGTCCCTCTAGATGTAGTTGTTGATGTCCCTGTAAATGGAGTTGTTGATGGCCCTGCAGATGTACTCGTCGGTGTCCCTTTAGATGTAGTTATTGATGTCCCTGTAAATGGAGTTGTTGATGGCCCTGCAGATGTACTTGTCGGTGTCCCTCTAGATGTAGTTATTGATGTCCCTGTAAATGGAGTTGTTGATGGCCCTGCAGATGTACTCGTCGGTGTCCCTCTAGATGTAGTTATTGATGTCCCTGTAAATGGAGTTGTTGATGGCCCTGCAGATGTACTCGTCGGTGTCCCTCTAGATGTAGTTGTTGATGTCCCTGTAAATGGAGTTATTGATGGCCCTACAGATGTACTTGTTGGTGTCCCTCTAGATGTAGTTATTGATGTCCCTGTAAATGGAGTTGTTGATGGCCCTGGAGATGTACTCGTCGGTGTCCCTCTAGATGTAGTTATTGATGTCCCTGTAAATGGAGTTGTTGATGGCCCTGCAGATGTACTCGTCGGTGTCCCTCTAGATGTAGTTATTGATGTCCCTGTAAATTGAGTTGTTGATGGCCCTACAGATGTACTTGTCGGTGTCCCTCTAGATGTAGTTATTGATGTCCCTGTAAATGGAGTTGTTGATGGCCCTGGGAATGTACTCGTCGGTGTCCCTTTAGATGTAGTTATTGATGTCCCTGTAAATGGAGTAGTTGATGGCCCTGCAGATGTACTCGTCGGTGTCCCTCTAGATGTAGTTATTGATGTCCCTATAGGTGTAGTTGTTGATGTCCCTGTAGGTGTAGTTGTTGATGTCCCTGAAGGTGTAGTTGTTGATGGCCCTGCAGATGTACTCGTCGGTGTCCCTCTAGATGTAGTTATTGATGTCCCTGTAGGTGTAGTTGTTGATGTCCCTGTAGGTGTAGTTGTTGATGTCCCTGAAGATGTAGTTGTTGATGTCCCTGAAGGTGTAGTTGTTGATGGCACTGTAGGTGTAGTTGTTGATGTCCCTGAAGGTGTAGTTGTTGATGGCCCTGCAGATGTACTCGTCAGTGTCCCTCTAGATGTAGTTATTGATGTCCCTGAAGGTGTAGTTGTTGATGTCCCTGTAGGTGTAGCTGTTGATGGCACTGTAGGTGTAGTTGTTGATGTCTCTGTAGTTGTAGTTGTTGATGTCCCTGTAGGTGTAGTTGTTGATGGCACTGTAGGTGTAGTTGTTGATGTCCCTGTAGGTGTAGTTGTTGATGGCACTGTAGGTGTACTCGTGGGTGTCCCTCTAGATGTAGTTATTGATGTCCCTGTAAATGGAGTTGTTGATGGCCCTATAGGTGTAGTTGTTGTCGCTGTAGTGGTTGTAGTTGTCGGTGTAATGGTTGTAGTTGTCGGTGCAATAGGTGTAGTAGATGCTGAAAACGAGTTTAAATACATTAAGATTATGTATATACCTTTGGGAATGTTATAATCCTTAGTTTCCACATTTTCCTTAATAACTACACTGAATATATATTTTCATTTTTCTCAAACAATAGCATGAAAAACTTTAACCTTGCATAATAAAAATTGTAAACTGACATCTTTAAATAAGAATAAAAACATATACTTGCAGCTGTAAATAAAGAACACTTGAATGTGATTAAATGTTTTAGTGTTCATAATTACATATAGTAAATATATAAAATAAGTTCAGTGCTGAATTGAATACACTGGTCAAAATAAAATGTAAATGCTGAATATTTGAAATAACCACATTATAGTGAAATATGGAATGTATTTTTGTTAATCGGAGGTAAATTTTACTTACATTGAGCTGTCGATCCCACGATAAGCAATGCCAATATGGCACCGGCGATGATGCTTAAAGTGAAAAATTGCTTCTCCATTGTAAAGATCAGATGAGAAAAATACTCCCGTGAAAAAACCCACTAATCAATCAATTCCTTTGTTGAAACCAAAACGATTGAAAATCCTTTCTTGAGTTGATTAAACTGTAGCTCTTTTGTCAGAACAGATACGCTTTCTTACATACAGCCAATTTATATGAGAGAGAGAAAAAAAACACCCAAATGTTGAGGTTGAAGTTGTGTGTGTGTGATCTGCCGTGCTTTAGACATTTATATAATCCCAGTGGCGCAATAAACTGTGCCCCTTCACTCAGTAGTTAAGGGGCTTTTTGGGTTTTATGGTTGTCAAATGTTAAAAATAGTTTTATTATTTTGGTTGAACGCAAATGTGTTGAATTGCACGTCATTATGTTGCGAAAAAAAGGAAATGGTTTACTACAGTAATTGTTTAAAAATGTGCATGCGTTCACCTCGTGTACTGGCTGTAGAGAAATATAAATACATTTGTGCAAAAACCTGTATGATCACAGCTACTCTTTACTACTGCGGTGTGTCAGAGGCAGATTTATAGTTCTTCAATTAAAAAAGTTTGGTGATTGGAAAAAAATATGGTGTATGTTATATATGGTTATCTTATTCTAATCCAGACATTTTGTTTTGCAATTTTAAACTCCAACTTTGCATCTCATTAACCATATGAATACAGTTAATGTCGAATACCTTTCCTATTAAAACTCCATACCAAAGTAAAATGTGTTTAGTGTATCGGCCTTTCATACTTTTGTCACCCAGCAGCATTCGCTTAAGCATGTAAACTCTGGATCAGTTTGTTCAGAATTTTTATTTGATTTATTCTGGAAAAATCCGATGAGTTATGAAGCTCTTTTTTCACAGACATCCTTACGGATCTCAGCAGTCAGTTGTATATATTAAACAACTACTTATGGTTTACCAGCGATTATTCGTGAATGCTCTCTCTCAACACCAGTGCTTTGCAACAAAATCACCGAGGTGTGACAAGGAATTGTCGGAATTATAGGAAAGGAAAGAAACCTCAATCCCCCACCCTCCACCTACCGTCCTCCAACCCTTCTCTATTGGACGCAGGGCAGTACGGCAGCAGACAGCCATCAGCCCCCATCTCCCGGCGCTCTCAAAGCGCAGATGGGCAAACGGACACGGAGACACACACAGCAACAGAGATACACGGACACGGAGACACACACACACACATACATGAATACACACATCGAGACACATAGGCATGGAAACTCGGAGATACACACAGACACGAATAACACTCACATTTGGGCAACAATGTGTCACGCATTTCTAGACAATGCATGTGTAAGCAAGGTATCGTGAATTATCTCAGCTACAACGCTAAGATTGAGCGAACTCAAAAGTGTGAGCCCCGTGAAATGAAAAAAGCTGAGTTAGTACTACTCTACACTATGGGCTGTCAGTGCAAGCACGAGACTGAAAAAACAACGCCGATAAAGTATTTCAGTGGAACTATTGCGGGGGGCGGGGGGGGGGGTAGCATTGCGCATAAGTTAGCACACTGTGCTATGAAAGGACAACAAGTTAGATTCCTAGCCCCAGCTAATATGATCATTGAACCAGGCTTGGAGCTGTTGCTTCATCAAACCTTCCTGGCCATTGCAGTGAAGTATGGTCAAGTTCAAAAAAGGCTTGTGAGGGCCTTGATCGAGCAGTGGGTTGACAAAGGGCTGTTGAATGAATGAATGCATTTTGAATGATCAGTGAATGGAATAAGTAAATTGTATTACTCAGAATACTCTACGATAGCACTCAGGGAGGTATTATGAGCTGTGATCTCGAGGGAGGGCACACTTATCAGTAGAATCTGGTGACAGCAATATTCTTTAACAGCTCTGACACTGCTGATAAGCTACAGAAGAAAAAACAATGCAGTGCAAAGGTTGTGCGTTTAACCAAATTCTGTTTAACAGACTGATTTAGAGATATGGAATGGAAGTAAATGTATTTATTGATTGCCAGAACTGCTTTACTACAGCACGCGGGGAGGTTTCATAAGTTCGTATTAGTCTCCTCTCTGGGACCATTTGACACTCACCAAACAAGTTGTACAGAAACAACTAGCCATCACCTTGAGTCAATGACACATCTAATCAGAACATGCACTATTGATGAAGTGGTCCTCAGGGCCACAACGTCCAACAAGGCACCGGGTTCCTAACGAACCTGTGTCCCAAGTTCCTAAAAAACCTCAGACTACATAGGACAACAATGCCTTGCAAACAACTTCACAGTCATACACAGGACAGACAAATTCCAGACAGAATTGACGCAAGCTAAAGTTATCGCCATTTTGAAATCTGGAAAGCTGCAAAAACTCACCCTTCAGCTATAGGCCAATATCCTTCTTGTCCATCATCTCCAAGCTGATGGAATGTGCCGTGCTTGCCAGACTTTCTCCCATTGTCAACCCCCATAATGGATGGAAGCCTGATCTTCAAGCCCCACGGTTTGTGAAAAGACCAAATCAAGAATCGCCCTGCTGCAGACACTTGCAGAAACGACCCGGAGCGGCTCAGCTGATGTGCTGCAAACTGCTGCCCTTTATTTTATCTCCTCAATGACATATTATTGTACTCCATCATAGTCCAGGAGCTCGTACACTAAATTGCATAGATGCACAGCTAAATAGCACAATGTTCATCATAAACGTATCACTCAAACTGACACCAATCAACCGATTTTCTATTCTGATGAACATTCTGCCACAAAATAGCCAGATACATGCAAACTGCACGGGAGTTTGCAGATTTTCTTGCCAACAAGAACCTTCTCTAACACAGGTTTTTTTGGGGTTAGATCACGTAAATATAAATGTGTCATTAAACCCACCACCACCTGACACAGCCAATAAGTAAGGTTTGCCACATAAACAGAACATGCATATTGACTAGTACAGCACACCGGTATGTGTTGGAGAGTAAATTCACAACACTAACAATTTGAGTGCGACGTTTTTGGCCAGTAATAACAACTGTCATCATCAGGCAGCAACCAGATTTGTGGAGAAATCCTCCTCTTTCGTTCCTTAAATAAAGAGATAGATGTGATAGCGTCACCTGTGAGTCCTTCACGTGCGGAGGCTAGAGGGGGGCAGGGGGGATTCATGAATGCATATATTACAATGGTTATCCACGACTGGTTGGATTATTCATATGGCAATCAACGGACAATATGAATGAACATTATGCATGTACATTGGTCTTGGACCTCCTGTCGTTTTTGTGCACTGAAATAGCAGTACCAGTTATTGTCTGCTCACAGGTAATCCCAATTGACGTATGGTGACCTGTATAGGCATGCATTTAAACAATGTATTATTTGATGATTCGCTTCTAAGCAGCACTTCCAAGTCTGTAGCTATCTGAACGGTAAAAATAATATTTATTTCTCTAAATTTCTATAGATTCTCTAATTAGTCTTGGCCAGTACTAACTAGTTTTGCACAGAACTTGAACATTATCATGCTGATCATTCCTCCTGTCTGCCCAACATAGCATTTGCCACAAGCGCAATTAATCTGGTACACACCTGTTGATAGCTTCGGTAAGGCATCATTCGTATTTTAAAATACCGTACATTGCGGGAGTAACTGATAAACTAGCCAGATCTTTGGAAAAACAAAACATCCGAGTCAGATTTGGCATGGTACATAAATAGTTAAATTTAAAAAGTATGGGGGCGGCATGTCTGAATATTAATTTCAATAATTAAGTAAAAAAAACACTAAGCGCCCCAGGATCACCGGGACCTGGACCGGTTCTTTAAACTGAATCTTGAATTGTCACACGAGGCGACCTCTGTGTAGAATATCTCAGCTCGTTAGGCTTCGTAGGTCCGAAGATATTAAGCGTTGGAGATGTTAAAGAATATAAATGAACAATAATGGCAAGTTCCATAAAAGTGTGTAATAAAAATATGCAACAATAAATTTAGACGTTTTGTTAAGAGTTCTCCATACAAACTCTGGCACCCCATTAAATGCAAAAAGCAATACCGTACACAAACTCATTACGTGTTGCCGAACAGCATTGTGGATAAAAAAAACATAAACAGCGCATATTAAACATTTTAAAGTATGATTTAGTCTAACAACCAAAATGGTCATATGTCAAACTTTCTAGACAAGAGTGGCAACTGAGACAGATATCTGTCAGAGCCAATTAATCAGCAACTTTGCTTGCTGCGGCTCTAAGTGCCGCTAAGCATCTCCGCTGTCTGTTAACTTGCGTCCAGTTAAGATGTCATCCACGTCACCCTTCTTGCTCTGCCCTCCAATCTCCCCAGATCGCCTGACTCCTCCGCCTCCGTCCGAGCAACAGCGCTGGCAATGAGTTGCCCATAAGTGAAGCCCCTGTGGGCGATGTGCATCGATAATGCCCGCTTGGCGGTGCTGGTAGTGGTGGTCGTGGTGGTGGTAATGGTGGTGGTAGTGGTGGTCGTGGTGTTGGTAATGGTGGTGGTAGTGGTGTTGGTAGTAGTGGTGGTAGTGGTGTTGGTAGTGGTGGTCGTGGTGGTGGTAGTGGTGGCGGTGGAGTAGCGGCTTGCACGGTATGAACTCGGCGATCCGAGTTCGATTCCCGCTCATGGCCAACACCAGTGACGATTATCTCAACCGGTCCTGGGTTTCAACGCACCAAGTACTCAAATGAGTACCTGGTGCATTGTGTAAACATCACCCCTAGGAAGACAAAGGCGGATCGGGTGTGGTGCTGGCCATCCACCCCCTCGTAGTTCCGTACCAGCCTTCATAGGTGGTCGCTAACAGCACTTGCCCCTACAGTCTGTCAAGGTTACACGGGGGTATTTGTCTTTGCTAGTGGCTGGTGTGTGCCCAGTGCTGAGGTTCTCGAACGAGTAGTCTGTGGCACGTGGTGGAGATGCCTCAGTCAGCAGCAGTAGCAGCAATATGAGGAAATTCAATTTGGATTCATACAGCGTCTAAATGCGACCCTTATCTATAGCTAGACACTGTACAGAAACAGCGACCCGATAGACCCACATAGAGACCCATAGCGTCACATGGAGACCCACAAACTCACGTGAAGACTCACAAACTCACACAGAGATCGGCACAAGAGAGTGGACATCTATTTAGCAGATGAGAAGGGAGAAATAGGTGAAAGGCTGAGGATAGGAGATAAGTGAGAGGGAGGAGAGGTGAGGCCGGA